TCATGCAATAAATATAAAACTGTGCAATAATAATAGTAATAAATAACTATGTAAATAAATATATTAATAATCACACAATCACACAAATAAATATTATAATAATCATGCAATTAACAATGTAAATCATGTAAATAAACATGCAATTAAATATATAAACCATGCAAATAAATATACAATTAAATATATAATTAGGCAATCATACAAATAAATAAATTAATCATCATGTAATTAGACATGCAATTAAATATATAATCATGCAAATAATAATATTAATAATCATGCAAATAAACATGCAATTAAATATATAATCATGCAAATAATAACATATAAATCATGCAATCATGTCAATAATAATATATAAACCATGCAAAATATGCAATTAAATATATAATCATGCAAATAAACATTCAATTAAATATATAATCATCCAAATATATTAATAAATCACACAAATAAATATATTAATCATGTAACAAATATATAAGGCAAATAAATTATCATGCAAATCCATGCAAAAATAAATACCATGCAATAAATATAAAAATAAGAGTAAGCAATTAAATATTATAAAAGTTAGGCGAAAATATTATAAATGTTAGGTGAAAATGAAAATTGACTATTAAAGACATTATATTAAAGTTGCATATTATGTAATTTAGTAATTTATTAATATATTTGATATCTACAAAACTTATTAAAATATTTTTGTCATAATGTATAGATCTGTGGATCTATCGTTAGACTTGGAATGAAAAGTAGCCACCACCAATCTTTTTTTGGTTAGGTGTGATTAGTCACCTGATTGAAGCTGATTTGCAAAATAGAGGTTAGGTTCGAAAGGCGGTTGTGTATAGGAAAGGTTGTAGCACCCCCACAATGCACATCACAAATATGGTACCAGATTGATTTCGAATTATCCAAGCCTTAATCATTTTTATGACTTACCAAATAATTTAACATTTTATTACATAAAGAAAACAGTAAAACCTCAAAATTTTCTCTTATATTTTTTTTATATATTATTATTTTGACAACATTATTTACAAATGTTTTTTTTTATGTTTTTCTCTCTTTTTTTAAAAAAGAAGATATTTTTTCTTCTTTTTTTTTGTAGGAATACCAGTGGTAGAAATATATTTTACTTTTTTAAAAAAACATAAAATAATAAAAAATGGGTTAAAAATAAAATAAAATATAAAAGTAAAATAAAATGAAAAAGGAAAAACCTGCAATCAGGTCAAGTCAAAGTGCAGGTTAACTCGTGGGTCACCGAGTCTGCGTGCAGATCCTAGCTTACCCAAAATGATGTCATTCTGAAGTGGTATAAAAGGCACCCTTCCGCATTTTTCATCAGAAGTCTCAGAGCCTCTCTCTCTCTAGCCCAAAATCCTCTATCTTCTTTCTAAAATTTTCCATCGAAAACTTCAACCAAGATAAAAAAATCCATCGATTTCTGAAAAAATTATCGAAAAATTCAAACAAAAACTAGAAAACCACCAGTTTCTAGGAAGTTGGCCTAATTGTGATCGAAAAATTCAATGGATCGCCAAAAATATCATTGAAAAATTCATATTTTGTCGAAAAAGTCAACCAAACCCAAAAAAATCCAAAATTTTTGAAAAAATTCCAAAAAAATTCCTAGATGTCTCTAAGCCTTCCTTGAACCACCTACAACCCTAAATTCACCTCCAGAATCCTGAATTCACTCCCAAAAGTACAAATCAATTCTAAAATTCCAAACTTAACTTTCCAAAATCTTTCAAAATTTCCCAATAGTATTTCTCTGTGTTTCTATGTTTTTTTTCATGTCCTTGTCTTTTAGAATTTGTTCAATTTATAGGTAGCCTAGGATCAATTCAGGAAATTGATAAAATCAATCCTAAGCTTGAATCCTAGGATTGTATTCTATCCAACGTGATTTTCAATCCAAAATTTTAGTGATTTGATCTTGTGTTTAAAATTGAAATAGCAAAGAAAAGTAGCAAGGAAAGAAAAAGAACAAAGAAAGAGAATAAAAAATAAAAAAATAATAATAATAATAATGGAAATACTAATAATAGTAATAATAATAAAAATAATAATGATAATAATAAACAAGTTAACACTTAGGCCTATACCTAAATGGGCCCAATTGGGCTCAGACTTTAATGGGCACAATCAGGCTCAAACCTTAACTTGCCCAAACATAAATGGATGTCTATAATTGGTGGGCTTAATTGGGCCTAGACCTAAATGGGCCTAATCAAGCTTGGACCTCAATGGGCCCTAACACAAATGGGTGTCTACAGTTGCCTCTCTTTACATATCTTTATTAGACAAAGATGATACAAAGACCTAGACATCCACTCTATTCAAGTCAAGATAGAGAGTAAAATTAACCAAGATGATCCTCAAGTCAAAAGTAAAATGATCTAAACTGAACTGATGTTGAATGAATGGGACGACATCGCAAGTCAGAATACGATCTAACTGGAATCGAGATCAAATAAATGATCGAAACGATGCTGTGAACTTGATCAAGACTGAGTCGAGATCGTAAATAAATGACTAGACTAATGTTTCGAGTCTAATGAGGATCTAACATGAGTCAAGATCAAATGACTGGGATGATGCTGTAAGTTGAAAAGTGACCAATACTGAGTCAAGGTCGAAAATGACAAGACTAATATCGTAGGTGTGAAGATGATCTAACATGAGCCGAAATAAAATGACCGGGATGATGCTGCAAGTAAAAAGACTACCAAGATCGAGTCAAGGTCAAAAATAAATGACCAAACTGGTGTCGCAGGTCTGAAGATGATCTAACACGAGTCGAGATCAAATGACTCAGACAATGCCATAAGTCAGAAGGCTACCAAGACCAAGTCGATGTAAAAAATTATTGGACTAATGTCGCGAGTCTAAAGATGATTTGACATGAGTTGAGATCAAATAAGTGGGATGATGCTGCAAGTTAAAAGGCGACCAAAACTAAGTCGAGGTCAAAAATGACTAGATTGATGTTGCGAGTCTAAAAATAATCTGACATGAGTAGAGATCAAATGATTGGGACAATGCCACAAGTCAAAAAATGACCAAGATTGAGTCAAGGTTAAAAATAATCAGATGGATATCGCGAGTCAAAAGATGATCTGACATGAGTTGAGATCAAATGAGTGGATAGTGCAAGTGTATGTCTTATGCAAAAGAAACATCAATTGTGGAACTAAGGGTTCCACATTCTCGTTTTTGCACATTTAGCAGAAAAATCATCTTTTATTATCCTAAATATTTATCTTCACTGTACATTTTAGCAAAGAAATCATCTTTTTTTAATACTATTTTCTATCAGCCCTAAGGCATATTTTGGCAAAGAAACTATTTTTCATTCACCTAGAATGTTTATCCTAAGGAAAGCCATGGGAGTCAATTTTTTCCCTTTTTTTTGTTTTTTCTTTTTTGGATTCATCTTTTACCTTTATCTCCTTTAATCCTTCAAAGTAACACACACTTCTTATGATTTTGTTCAATTGTCAATCACTATCCCAATTTTGAAGTATGAGGATACAAGTTATGCATTTCTTTCATTCATGGCAAGATATAAAGAGGAAGAGCAATGTATAGGACTAAGAGAATAATAAGATGGCTTTTATTTATTTGGATAAATTAAAAATGATGGTATAGAGATGAAAATAGAGTAATTAGGAACAGCTATTTAGGGTAGCGATGCCCTAAGATAAATGATTAGATAAGCATAATAACAAATCTCGAATCTCTTTCAAAAACTCAATTAAAACTTGATGCCCTAACACTTTAAAGCTCTTCAAAATTTATTGTCCCTGATATGCCTTCCCAAGTAATGCTAATTCAAGCTTTCTTTCAGAGTTTCGAACCTTTCTTTGGATCCAAGTCGCTCTTTTGGGTTTTTAACTTGAACTTTTTTTCTTTTTTTTTATTTTTTTTTAAATCACCTTTTTGGGTTTTCAATTTGAACTTTCTCTTTTATTTTTTGGATTAGGCAAAGTACTTCTTTACTACATTAAAATTGATAGGACTAGGAAGTTCATCCCCGTCCATTTCTAACAAGATTAAAGCTTATCTCGAAAAAGCTCTTTTATCATATATGGCCATTTCCAATTCAGGGTCCACTTTTCTCTATCATCATGTTAACTTGGAAGAATTCTTTTCAACACCAACTCTCCCTCTCAAAACTGACAAGGTCTGACTTTTTTATCATGAGCTCTCATCATCCTCTTTTGGTACAATTGGCCATGGTAAAACATTGTCAATATCTTCTCTTTAATAAAGTTTAATTGCTCATAGCACTCCTGAATTCATTCAGCATCTTCTAATCCCACTTCTCTTAGGACTTTTAAAGATGAGATTTTTACTTCTACTAGCAACACAACTTCCATCCATAAACCAAGGAAAAAAGAGTTGCCCTAGTAAAAGTGCGTACAGAAGTTCAATATGCATGTAGAGTTTAAGGCAATTTCTCGTGCTAGTCCTTGTATGTTTTAGTCATCTTCTCTAAAATTCGTTTGATGTTCTTATTCATGGCTTCCATTACCCTATTCATTTTTAGGCGGTATGGAGCTAAATTATGGTATTTGATCTTGAATTGAGCATATATTTCTTGCATTATCTTGCTGTTTAAATTTTTTGCATTGTTTGAGATGATTCTCTCTGGAGCCCATATATGTAGATTATTTCTCTTTTGATGAATTTACAAACCACATATCTAGTCACAATTATGAAAAAGGCAGTTTTGACCCATTTAATAAAGTAATCAATTATCACAAAAATGAATATATTTCCCTTTGAGGCCTTTGGTGTGATAGTCCCAATAACATCCATTCCCCACATAAAAAATGGCCAAGGTGGTGCTATGATGCAAAGCATTAGGTGGAGCATGAATCTTGTCAGCATAAATCTGACATTTATGATATTTTGAGCATAATCAATGTAGTTTTTTTTCATTATCAACCAGTAATATCCAGCTCGCATAACCTATCTTGCTATCATGTGTCCATTTGCATGTGCTCCACATACACCACTGTGCACCTATTCAATAATTTGTTTAGCTTCAAATCCATTCACACAATGTAATAACACTTTGGTTTTGCCTTTTTTGTACAAAATTTTCCCATCTAGAAAGAATCTCATGGTCGATCTTTATAAGATTCTCTTATCATTTTTTGTTGCTTGATTTGGATACTGCTAATTTTTTAAATATTGCATGATATCATAATACCAGGGACGATCATCCTCCTCTTCTTCTAAGTTGGCATAATGTACTGGCATATTTTTTATATCCAATTTGATAGGCTGAATCTCTGTAATGTCACCAATCTGTACCATTGTGGCCAAGATAGCCAAGGCATCTACAATCTGGTTTTCTTCCCAAGGTAAATGTTCAAACCTAATTATTTTAAACCGTTTGCATAGCTTTAAAATATATTTATGATAGGGGATAAGTTTGGAATCCCTTATTTCCCATTCACCTTTTAATTGATAAATGACTAAAGTTGAATCCCCGAACATCTTTAATATTTCATTTTTTTTGTTCAAAGCAGCATACAGCCCCATGAAACAAGCTTTATATTCAGCTACATTATTGGTGTAGTTAAAATTCAATCTTGCTGTAACAGGATAGTAGTGCTCTGTTGGAGATATCAAAATTGCTCCAATCCCATGCCCTATGGCATTAGCGACCCCATCGAAATACATCTGCCATGTTTCTTCATCGTCTTTATCTTCTTCTAATTCTAAGATGGCCATTAGTTCCTCATCTAAAAAATCAAGCTTCATGGGCTCATAATCATCAACGGCCCTGTCTACGAAGAATTCAACAATGATGCTTCTTTTGATCACTTTTTGGCTTACATATATTATGTCATATTCCGAAAGCATCACTGGCTATCTTGAGATTATTCTTGATAGTGAAGTTTTCTTGAAGATTTATTTAATGGGATCGAATTTAGCTATGAGTAAAGTTGTATGATATAGCATGTACTACCTAAGTCTTTTAGCTATCCAAGCCAAAGCACAACACATTTTCTCTATTAATGAATAGTTTGACTCATATCCCGTGAATTTCTTACTCAGGTAATAAATAGCTTTTTCTTTCTTGTTGATTCATTTTGTTGGCCTAGCACACATCTCATTAAGCCCTTATGTACCACTAAGTATAGAATCAATGGTTTTTCTAAAATAAGGGATGCTAATATTGGAGAAGTTGATAAATACTGCTTGATATTATCAAAAGCTTCTTAACATTGCTCATTCCACTCCCCATGATTATTCTTCCAAAAGAGTTTGAAAATGAGGTCACATTTAAAAGTGAGTTAAGAGATGAATCGGGATATATAATTCAATTTACCCAAGAAGCCTCGAACCTCCTTTTGTGTGCTTGGCAGAGATAAATTCTGAATAGCCCGTATTTTGTCTGGATCCACTTCTATCCCTCATTCACTAACTATGAATCCTAACAACTTCTTGAATCTGGCTCTAAAAATACATTTAGTTGGATTCAATTTAAGTTGAAACTTCTTTAACCTCTCAAATAATTTCCTGAGGTTGGCTGCATGATCTTCTCCCTTTCTAGATTTTGTAATCATGTCATCAGCATACACCTCAATCTCTTTATGCATCATATCATAGAAAAATGTTACCATGGCCCTCTGATAGGTTATCTCGACATTTTTTAGTCCAAAGGGCATAAACTTGTTACAAAAGGTTTCTCACATGGTGATGAATGTGGTCTTTTTTATGTCATCTAGAGCTATCTTTATCTGATTATAGCCATAGAATTCATCAATGAAAGAGAATACCAAATGTCATGCCATATTATCCACCAAAGAATCAATGTGAGGCAGAGTAAAATTATCTTTAGGGCTAGCTTTGTTCAGATCTCTATAATCTACACATATTTGTACTTTTTTATCCTTTTTAAGGATAAGCACTATATTAGCCACCCATTCAGGATATTTAGCCATTTGCAAAAAGCCTGTATCAAATTGCTTTTTAACTTTTTCTTTGATTTTTAATAACATCTTCGATTTCATTCTTCTTAGCCTTTGCTATATCGATTTGCATTCTGGCTTCAATGGCAGCCTATGTTTCACTATTTTAGTACTGAGTCCAGGCATATCTTGGTAAGACTAGGCAAATACATTCACAAACTCCCATAGTAAATCTTCTAACCATTACCGATCAACAACTGAGAGTGAAGCACCAATCTTGACCTTTTTCTTATTTTTGGCATCACCTAAATTGATTAGTTCAATAATTTCTTGATGAGGCTTAATAGATTTATTTTTTTATTTAATTAGCCTCATTAAATCTGGGGATAAAGTGTATTCTTCATAATCTTCTTTAATATCAAGTTCATCGGTGTTGATTGAATTTTCAAAGTTGGGCCCTGAATCATTGTCATGATTACCTTTATATTCATTTAGGGACTTGAAAATTAAATGAATAAGAAATATTGGCAAGAAATTTTGATAGGATGATGGAATGGAAGAAATGAACAAAATGCATGCTACTACTTTTATTGAAATAACGAAACACAAAAGGCCTAAACATAAGAATTCATCCTAATGCTTTTGGGCATAAGCAATTAGGAGGTGTGATTACATTGAAAGAGAATAAAAAATAATAGGCATTTGAATGACCTTTCAATTCTGTAATTTATATCTCGGTGGGCATGAGTAAACCCAGGCTTTCTCATCTTGCATCCATCGTCCTCTATGTGAATGGATAGCTTGGCAAAACCTTTTTCCCATTTTGGTTCCTCTTTTGGGTCTTCTTCGACTTTTGAAAGCATGTATCTTTTAAGAGTGAAAGTCTCATTTACGTGTGAAACAACTGTCGATTCATTCATTGCCCTTCTACTATGGCTTGGTACTTTCTCCGCCTTATAACCCAATCTTACTTTGCCACTGTTGTCCTCAAGTTTTGGAAACTCTCTTATCCCTTGAAGATTCTTGCCTAGGCTAAACCCAATACTCTAACCTTTGTTAACCATTTGATTAACCATAATCTGACTAAATTTAAGCCATTCGCCCATTGCATTAATAGGTTCAAAAGATCTATACGAGCACTCTAATAACTCTTTTATTGCTTCCACATATAGGGTATTTATGGGGTTAGGTCACTAGCAAATTTTTTTCCCTGACCACAATCACCAATTACCCTTCTACATTAAATTTGATTTTTTGGTGCAATAAGGAAGGTACGATGCCTACCTTATGGATCCACAATCTTCTCAATAAGCAACTATACGATAGGGATATATCTATGACCTAGAATTTTATATTAAAGATACATGGTCCAATCTGGATAGACAACTCAATGTCTCCTAAGACTTCTCACCTAGTCCCATCAAATGCTCGAAACACCATCTGATTGTCTTGGATATGGGACATATCAAAGGGCAATTTAGCCAAAGTGGATACAGGTATAATGTTAATGGCTGACCCATTACCAACAAGGACCTTGGCTACTATATGGCCTTTACATTTACTAGTGATATGCAATGCCTTAGTGCTTTTTCTACCTTTCGGTAGAATCTCATCATCGTTGAAAAAGATATGGTGTGGTACCACTAGATTACCTGCCAGATGGTTCACATATTTATGAAAACATTATGGGCTACATAAGCTTGATTCAATACCTTTAACAAGGCATTGTGATGTGGTTCAGAGTTTATGAGAAGTGATAATAGAGAAATTATGGCTAGCATCTTATTCAATTATTCTACCATAGATTATTTATCGCACCCTGAGCGAGTGCGCCAGGCACATCAGGCGGACCAGCAGGCGAGCCAGAGGTTGAGGCCCACAGACCAGGCGTGCTGGCAGGTATCTGCGTACAAAGCCTAACAAACGAGTTCAGAATGCCCGCCCGACTTGTAGGCCAGCCCGTGAGACCAAGGCCTAGCATACAAGCTGCTCGTACCACATCTTGAAGGGCTAAAGGTGCTGGACACGCAAGGGAAGCTTCTGAAAGCAGGCAGGAGTATCCTGGCAGATTTGGTTGACCCTGAAAATCAGAAGTTAGTATCCTGATTGATTGTAATCTGTATAATCCCTTGATTTTAGCCTTTATTCTATGGATATGCCATTAAGTTGTAGCTAGAGCCTCAACTATAAATGGAGGGCTGCTCCACCCTCATTTGTACACCATCAAACACTTCTATTTCAATGAATACAAGAGCATTTCTAGAATTCTGTCTTGTTCATCCTGTTTCTCTTTAACTTGCGTAATCATCCCTTTTCATTGTTCTAGTGCTCGCACACTTGTGTTTTAGGCTGACTTAGGCACAAAGAAGGAGATTTCAAGCCTAAGGCAGCATGAATTCTGAGTCTAAGGTCAGAGCCCGTGACAGTTGGTATCAAAGCCAGCCCTAAATCGTTCGATCCATGCCAAGCACCTCGAGGGAGGTAGGCAGGGTGATCGGCCTCTATGACGAGGGCATCACGAGGTTGGGTGTGAGAGAATATCACAGACCTAAAAAAGAGGCCTGAATCCCACATCGAACATAATAGGAGGGTCCCTGGGGTATAAAAGGGTTCACACCACCTCCACCTTGTGAGATGCCTTTTGTACGACAAAACTGTGAGGCCAAAAGGTCAGAGTGGACAATACCTCACAAGGGTGTGAACCATGATAGGTAGGCTGATCTGAGACGCTGAAAGGGTGAATGCCCGAGTCTTAGAGCCGTACGAGTTTGGAGCTTGAGTCTCGACCCGTGACAAGTTGGTATCAGAGCAAGTTTGATTCTGCGTGTTTGTGTTGTACAGGTTAGATCGTGATTGAAGAGATGGCATCCCAAAGTGACGTTGCTAGCCAACAACTAGAGGCTTAGGAGCATGGTCGGGGAAAAGGCAAAAAAGCTAGTTCTAGAGATATCTGGTCTACCATGGACGGTAAGCTAGCCAAGGTGAAGGTAACCGTGGGTGACATAAGGGATAAGCTTGAGAAAGTAAAGACTCACATTGCATCGCTAGAATCCATAGGGGAGGAGATCCAAAGTGAGCTGGAAGCTGCTCTCAACAAAGGCTTGGACGTGTTCACCAAAAAGAATCAGACCTTGGAGGTTGAAGTACAGACCTCACGCGATGGCATGGAGGCCATACGCCAGCAGATGGAAGAGCTTACCAGTGAGCTCGTTACTTGCAAGACTGCCATTGGGAATGGCATATTTGTTGAAATGTCCAAATCCAGATTGGATGTCCCTAAGCCTAAAGAGTTCAAGGGGACTAGGGCAGCCAAGAAAGTAGACAACTACCTTTGAGGTATGAAGCAGTACTTCCAGGCCATGGGCATGCAAGACGAGGTGATAAAAGTAAGCACTGCTACTATGTATCTCACAGATGTAGCCTTATTATGGTGGAGGTGCAGGTGTGATGATGTCAAGCGTAGGAGCACTAAGATTGGAACTTGGGCAGAGTTTCAAAAGGAGTTCAGAAAACAATTTTACCTGGAGTATGCCGATGATGAGGCGTGGGCAAAGTTACGTAGGCTGAACCAGCAAAGGGACATAAGGGAATATGTCTGGAAATTCTCTGAACTAATGCTACAGATCTTGGATCTAAGTAAGAAGGATGCCTTCTTTGCTTTCATGGATGGGCTGAAGTCATGGGTGAAGCATGAGCTACAAAAGAGAGGAGTTCATGACTTGGCTAAAGTCATGACTACTACCGAGGCCTTAATAGAGTTCAAACTTCTGAATAAGTTCGAGTCTTCCAAGCCTAAGAGTAAGGGTAGGGATGATAGGGATCAAAAGAAGCAGTCCAATGGAAAGAACCATGATCGAGAGTCCAAGGATGGAGACCGAGACTGTTCAACCAAAGATGGCGAGAGGAAGCCACCGGCAGGCAAGTGGAAAACAAAAGGGGACTGAGAGC